AGGCTGGAAAAGCCTAAAGAGGGAAGCAATAAGTCAGAAGGATTCTACCGTCAGAGTGGCTAGTTACCGTCAATCTGCTCCTGGACATCTTCCTCTGCTCATCTCAGCTGTGGGTGAGTCCTGAGCAGGCCAGAACATGCCTCAAAAAACAGGGACAGAATTTGAACTCAGACCCTGTGGAATTGACCTGGATCCTCCATGCTTCATCCTGTATTATACTTTTCTCCTTTGGAACTAGACTACTTGCTCATCATGTTTAAACCTGAATTTTGACAACAGTGGTGTAATCTATTGCAAGAGTCAAACTTCTGAAGGTGGGTGGCACACGCCTATAATCCCGGCCCTCTGTGAAGCTGAGTCAGCAGTATCACAAGTTCAAGCCCAGACTGGGCACCTTAGTGACTTAACAAGACCCTGTGTCAAAATACAAATTAAAAAATGACTGGGGAGGTAGCTCAGTGCAAAGGCCCGTCTTTCAATCCCAAGTGCTACCACCACCAAAAGACAGAGAGAGTTGAGCCCTTGCCAGAAGTTGTGCGTTCCAGTTACCCAGGGCTCTGCCCAATCAGAACCCTTAGCACTTGGTTCTTTGACCTGGGGACCTTGGAATATAGGGGCCTGTGTACCTAGACCACTGTTGTCTTCCTGCCCACAAAATAAGCAAAAGAAACAGGCCAGTGTGGTTCAGAGAATTGCAAGCCAACTGGTAACTCAGCATCTATGTGTTCATGAACCTGGAAAGTGGTAGCAATGAGTAAAACAATTTTGGAAAATACGTATTTAATAACAAAGGGTTTTCACAGTATTTGAGTCCTATAAAAATATCTATAGTTCACTGTTTTCTGGCAGAGTACCCCACGTAACAGGGCAGGGACAGAGTCACCTCTTTTCTTACCACCTGCAAAGTGGACTGGGATGCATCTTCTGAGGAGCCTGAGGCTGGAGCAGAAGGTGCAGGGGCTCCAGCTAGACAGGGCTATCTCTCAGATACGTTTCCAAATGGGGATTCCCCATGTTTGCTGCTCCGGTTCTGTGCCAGATCCACCTGGAGCTTGAGATGGAAGGAAGGAAAGTAGGCACTGCTCAGTTCTATCCACTCTGTGGATTTTTTGCTCCCAAAGAACAGGCTAGCATGACAGGCATGGTGTCACATGTCTGTAATCCCAACTGCAGAGGAGACTGAGGCCAAAGGATTGCTTGAGCCCAGGAGTTCCAGACCAACCTGGACAAGACAGTGACCAGTGTACCTCTTCTATATCTTCCCCATGAGGTACGGGAACAGAATGTTCTTCAGGCTGTTCTGTTCTTCTTTTCCTTGGGTACTAACTAACCTTGAAATGTATAACAACCTACTAGATCAGTGATGGCAAACCTTGTAGAGACCAAGTACCCAAACTGCAAACTAAAACCCACTTTTTTATTGCAAACTGCCAACACTGCAGTTAAACCTCGGTACTGAGGCTTTAGCTTATAACAGCTGTTACCCAATGCTCGGCTGCTAGGATAACTTGGCTCATGTGCTGACAGAGAGGTATCTGTGTGCCCATTGCAGCCTGCATGTCTTAGGTTCACCACCACTGTACTGTATGGCCCAAAAGCACCTGAAAATTTTGTAGGTATATATGCATTTTTTTAAAATACTGCAAATGGCTGAGGATATAGCTCAGTGGTACAGTGGCAACTTGTCTTCCATGCCTGAGGCCCTGGGTTCTGTCACTACCACCATGGGAAAAATTGAAAAGACAAACACTGGTTATAACCGTGGTTATCTTGGAGTAGGTGGGCAACAGTGTTTCCTACATTAAGCACATACTATTTTTTTACCCCCTTGGTCCTGGAGATTGAAGCCTTCACAATGAGGTACATCCCCAGCCCTTTTTATTCAGAGAGAGGGTCTTGCTAAATCACTAAGTTGGGCGGGGGAGATAGCTCAGTGGCATAAGCACCTGCCTGGCAAGCACAAGGGTCCTGAGTTCAATTCCTGATGCCAATAAATAAATACTTCAATAAATCAATCAATCACTAAATTGCCCAGGCTGGGCTCAAACTTGTGATCCTCCTGCCTCAGCCTCCCAGAGTGCTGGGACAATAGCCACGCACTACTATTCCTGGCTACATACTTTTTCTTGAGTAAACATCTCACTTCCACATATTTTAGAAAAATGTAACCAAAGCCCTGGAGCTTAGCTGTTTTAGGAAAAACTCAATAATCCAGATGTAACTAAATATGTAGGAGGGACTAAGAAGTATTTCCAAGTGCCATTACTGAGTTTGCTCAGACCTGCATGTCATCTCCTTCTCTCACAGATGAACTGTCCATGGGAATAGGCCGTCTGAAGGACATAGCTCTGGGGATGCAGACAGAAATTGAGGAGCAAGACGACATTCTTGACCGGCTGACAACCAAAGTGGACAAGTTAGATATCAATATAAAAAGCACAGAAAAAAAAGTCAGACAACTCTAAAGATAGAGAAGTAGCTCCACTCTGTTATAATGACAATATTTGAAAGCTCTTTTTAAACTGCCAAGAAATTTCATTTATTATTTTAACATGTGTTTGCAAAGATTATAACAGAATAGGTCTTAAGAGATTTTTGTTGTGATGAAGAAATGTGAGTCCACTTTGTCTTAGGGATGGCAGCTCCCGAAATTCAGCAGAATGTTGAGTTTGTTCTGAGCACAGTAGTCCAGCCCTGAATATCTTAGGCCTTTGACTGCCATGCTGGACTAAGATGTATATTTTCATGACTACATGCAGAGGTACAGGAAGAATTTCAGTCTTGCATCCATTTCCCTGTTGGCTATATTTCTCATTTCTAGGCCTTACGAGTTCAGTGTTATGGGACCAGTGGTGGGGGGTCCTTCCCATATTTTTGTACAGGAGATATCGCGCACATACACAAACACTAAGCACACTGTGCTTCTCTCCTCTCCCTGCAAAAGGATCACTGTTGGATCTGGAAGAGCGATGTCACATTCTTTGCTCTTTTGTTAACAGATGTCACCTTTTGCTCTCCTGCCCTCTGTCACTGGCATGCATTTAGTAAGAGGGCTTCAGAGTGACACCTGGAAATGTACAGGGAACTGGGCAAACCTTCCTGCCCACATACTTTCATCTGGTGTTCTCCATCTATGGCTGAGAACAGGTTCTCCACTGGCCCAAGGCCACCTGCCCGATCAACAGGACACCCTGTGGAGATTTTGGGAGTGGAAGTATCACACAGATGTGGACAAGCAGTGGCCTTTCTCTACTAAGCCCTACCCCCACCACTGCCAGGCTTCAGTATGACAGTGTCAGGTGCTGGGGCCTGCAGCACCGTCAGGACTCCCACTCACTGTTCTGTATTACTTCAGGGTGAAATTTGAATCATCACTTGGTTCCCTCCCACCCAGTTTTAGGACTGGAACTGCACAAATAATGCTGACCTTGTATGAAAGATTTGGCTAAAGAAAAACAGAAAAGCCCAGATACCATTTTAGCTAGCTCAGCTTGTTGTCTCTTTTCATTTTATAAAAGGAATCATCTATAAGCATTCATTGCAATTGACTTCTGGAATAAAATTAAGTTCAGTACCTCCATCAAAATCATTGAAGCCACAAAGCCCTGGTCTTTTTTAAAAATAAATTAAGGTATTTTGAAGATGGTAAAAGAGACTAATTTTAATGATAAATCAATCCCACTACTCAGGAGGCTAAGGCAGGAGGATAACCATGAGTTCAAGGCCAGCCTGAGCTATATAAGTGAGTTCAAGGTTAGCCTGCACTATATAGTAAGACCCTGTCTCAAAAATAAGAATAATAATAATAAGTTGCCACACCTATAATTCTAGCAGTCTGGGAGGCTGAGGCAAGAGGATCAATTCCAAGTTTGAGCTAGCTCAGCCAGGGCAAATTAACAGCTTAGCAAGGCCCTCTCTAAAAGTAAAAAATAATAATAGTAAAAAGGGCTAGGGATATAGCTCAGTACAAAGGCTCTGGGTTTAAAGAAAAAATCATCTTTATTACCAGATGAAATCCACAAGACAGATTTCTATTTCTACGGTGTAGCTGGAAACAAACTGTGCCTTCAAATAAGTAGCTTTTCTAATATTAGGTTGGTTATACACTAAGTGTGCTACTAACAAAAAAATAAGTGCATTCTCTTTCAAAGGAGACTATTTATAACATCTAGTACTTTCTAACTTAACAGCAGCGGAATGACCTCATGGATGTCTTCTTTGTATTCTGTAGGGAAAGACCTGAATTTAAGTGGTGAGCAAAAATACAGCAGTGCATTTTCTCTTTCTCTTAACTTGTTTTTGCGAATATATAATTTTAAATGTACACTACACCAATTTAGTAAAAATCAACTTATATAAACCTTTTCTGCAAGATTTTTAAAGTTGCCGGTGTTGTTAAGCATCTTTAGCTCTGATGAATGAAATGTCTTGTGTAGAAATTGCTGAGCCAGTCATTGAAAGTGCTCGTTTTACAGGGCATGGGTGGGGGGCTTTTTGTCCAGTCTGTATCAGGACAGCTTGTATCTTCCTCCATGTCTTCAACTCTGCAGATGAGCATATTCCATAAAATAAAATGTGAAGTTTTTCAATCAAATTGTCTCCTTCATAGATGTTTTCAAGGAGTTAGTGGAGGGGATCCTCCATGCAGAGTCTTCATGTGTTTGGTCCTTAGGCCAAATTTAGAAACCCTTTGGCTGGAGCATACAACTCAACGGTAGAGCACTTATCTTGCATGCATAAGGCCTTGGGTTCCATCCCCAGCATGGCAAAAAGAAAAAAAAGAGACCTGATCATGTCATCAAGAACTTTTCCAAAAAAAAAAAAAAATAACTTTTCCAGTGTATCTTCTAACTCTTCACTCCCTCTCCAGCAAGAGCAAGACCTGGAAAATTTCTGCATATTTTTTTTGTTTGCTTTTGTTTTTTTGTTTTGTTTTTTTTCCAGTACCGGGAATCGAACTCACGACCTTGCACTTGCCAGGCAGGCTCTGTACCGCTAAGCTAAATCCCCAGCTCCTGCATATTTTTCCATTCCCTAGTCATCTGTCATCTGTCTCAGGGTGCTACATCTCATCTAATAAAGTGGCTTGGCGATTTTTTTTTTTTTCTTTTGCACTGGGAATTGAACCCAAGGCCATTGCACTGAGCTACAGTCCCTAGCCCTTTTAAAAATGTTTTAAATTTCAAGACAGGGTCACTAAAGTTGCCCAGGCTGGGCTCAACCTCACAATCCTCCTTCTTCAACCTTTCCAAGTTCTGGAACTACAAGGATGCACTACCACACCTTACTTTCTTTTTTTTTGGTTTTTCTCCGGCACCAGGAACCGAACTCACGACCTTGCGCTTGCCAGGCAGGCGCTTTGCCGCTGAGCTAAGTCCCCAGCCCCCAACCACACCTTACTTTCAATGAAATTCTTAACAGCCATCTGTTCTGGCCCGTTTTCTGTTGCTGTAATTGAACACTACAGACTAGGAAATTTATGAATAAAGGTTTATTCAGCTTATTGGCTGAGAAGTCCAAAGTTGAGGGGCCACACAAATGTGGCCCTTCTTGCTCATAAAGACTTAAAACTTAGCAAATATCTGTAGAGGGCCAGAGATTAAACGTTTTAAACCCACAGGCCAAGTAGTCTTTGTCACAACTTTGTCACAACTATTCAAATATGCCACTGTAGCACAAAAGCAAAGATAATACATACATGGGTAAGAGTTTATTTATGAACATGGACCTTTGAATTTCATAAATTTTTTTCACAGTACTAGACTTTAAATGCAGTACTGAGCTACAGTCACAGTTTTGGTTTTTTGTTGTTTTGTTTTGTTGTTTTGTTTTGTTTTGTATTTGAGACAGGGTCCGCTAAGAGTCTAAATTGCTCAGGCTAGGCTCAAAATTGCATTCCTTATTTCTCAGCTTCCCAGACTGTGGGGATTATAGGTATGTGCCACCATGCTTAGTTCATCTTGGAAATTTTAATCGGTCAGTGGACTAGCTGCCTATGTTCCAGAGGTTCCACTGGTTTTAGTGGATATCATCTTTGGGCATCATTGTAAATAAAGAATGATGAAAGTTTAAACATGAGCAGTGGACTTTTCTGGAGAGATGAGGCACAGAACATATAGAATAAGAAGCATAAAAAAAAAAAAAAAAAAAATCAAGGTGGCCTTTTCCCTGTAAGTACGGAAAAGCCATAATATTGTTTGTGAGTGGGAGATGACATAAGAAAACAGGCAGGTCCCAAAAAGAAAGGCCTCAGGAGTCCAGTGACAAGGAGGCATTGATTGAGCCTAAACAAGAGAGTGACATGATCAGATTTAGAATTTAAAAGGATCATAAATTGTGCGTGGTGGCGCATACCTGTAATGCCAGCACTCAGGAGACTGAGGCAGGAGGATTGCTACAAGTTTGAGGCCCGCCTGGGCTACATAGTGAATTTAAATTCAGCCTGAACTACATAACAAGAAGCTGTCTCAAACACACACACACACACACACACACACACACAAAAGATCATAAATAAGAGCAAATAACAAAAATCTCTAGAAGCCACCTAAGTAAGGAGATAATGTAGCAATTTTTTTTTTTTTTTTGTCTTTTTGAGACAAGGTCTTACTATGCAGTTCAGGCTGGCCGTGAGCTCATTTTATAGTCCAGGCTGGCCTTGAACTTGCAACAATCCTCCTGCCTCAGCCTCCCGAGTGCTGGGATTACAGGCGTGCACCACCATGCCCAGCTTAAGGTTGTTTTTTTTTTTTTTTGATAGCAAATTATTGTAGCTGTGAAAAGTTTTCAACCAGCATATAAGATAATACGAGATTAATATTACGGGAAAAATGGGCATAAAACTAATTACTATATACAGTATAGTCCCACTTTTGTGGGAAAGCAAACCAATATGTGATTTTTTTAAAAGAATTGACCCTTATACCAATGAGCACTAGGCATGAGTAGGCTAAAGGCAAGACTTTGGAAACTGTCCAGGCAAGACCTAGACAATGAGGCACATGCCTATAGACCCAGCAACTCAGAAAGCTGAGGCAGGAGGTTCATGAATTTGAGGCCAGCCTGGACAACATAATGAGACACCGCCCCCCCACCCCCGCATCTCAGAAAAATTAAGAAATTGTCCAATCCCAGCATGGTGGCACACACCTGTAATCCCAGCACTCTAGAGGCTGAGGTTGGAGGATCACCGTGAGATTGAGGCTAGCCTGGGCTACATAAGTGAGTCCAAGACCAGCCTGCACTGCATAGTGAGACCCTGTCTCAAAAAAAAAAGAGTCCAGGCAAGAGCTGAAGAGGAGTCCCAAACGAGAGGGATAATAGGGCAGGAAGAGGAATAGGGGATTCCAGGCCTTAATGATTAGGCAATTAGGAATGATGGAGAGGCACAATTTAATGATAGCATCCAGGTTTCTGGCCAAAGAAGTTAGCAGACAGACATCTTTTGTTGTTGTTGTTTTGTTTTTGCAGTACTGGAGTTCAAATCCAGGGCCTCATATATAATAGACAAGCACTTTAGCATCCAGCTATATCTCCAGCTGTTTTTGTTTTTGTTTTTGAGACAGGGTATTGCTATGTAATTCAGGCTGGCCTTCAATTTACTGTGTGGTCCAGGCTGGCCTCAAACTGAAGGTGATCCTCCTGCCTCAACCTCCCGAGTGCTGGGATTACAGGCATGAGCCACCATGCCCGGCTCCTCAGCTCTTTTTAAATTTTCTATTTTGAGACAGTCTTACTAAGTTGCCTAGGGACATATGCAGCAGCACACACCTGTAGTCCCAGCTGTGCAAGAGGCTGAAGGGAAGATAAAGGCCATCCTGGGCAACATGGTGAGACCCCATCTCAAAAAACAAGCTGGGGGTGTAGCTCTGTGGTAAAGTGTTTACCTAGTGCACATGAGACACT